ATTTTAACTAGTGTTAATATTTCACGATCATTACATTTGACCCCCCTTAAAACAAATTCTGTCCTCAGAATTAAAATAAGAAAGAATCCAAGGACAGGGTTATGGAAAGAGAGACTCAACTGAACGCACATAGAGAAAATTCAAAATAAATTGCATATCCATAAGTAGAGCGTGAGAAAAACACAAGTCAACATATAGACACACAAACGCTAAGTTCTCACAATATAAATATACAATTTGTTACAATAAAAATACTAGAGATATATGAATACAAATATAAAATTCACTATAATAAAACACTAAATTATCACCATAGACACAAACGGATATTTAATTATTTGAAGTAAATATAAAACATATATAGCACACATATAGAAAGTAATAAAAACATTCTAGACAAAGCATCATTTAGATATAATATTCTATAAATAAAGAAGACGAGAAAAATGTGAATGCAAATTCACATATTGTATATATAGGACATGAAACATGTTATAAGAATGCATCAGGCATCAATATCAAATATAAGTTATATGAACAAGTCAAATACAAAGTCAAACAAGCAGAATATAATGATAACGGTTAATAGTAAAAGGTATATAGGATAAATCAATAATGTATAGTCAGATGATATAAAAGATGCAAGAATAATGATAAAGCAGAAGTATAAAAAGTACGCAAATCATCAAGGGAATATATACAATATAAGGTCATAAGAAATGCTGGTATGTAATATAAATAATAAGAATGATGTAAGTATAACATAAAGAGAGTGGACATATATTGAAAAAGATTACACAGGTATAAATAAGCATGTATTTAGTAATAAAATAGTTGACACATATCAAATTATAAAATAATATATCTAGGCACAGACAAAAATATAAGTATCAGTCAAACATAGCATAATAGCAAAGAAGTCAACAACAAATATATAATCATAGAAAAATATAATATCAACATGATATTATTTATATAGTATCATAAGACAACACATCACGGTGTTAAAACATAATCAATAATACAGAATTGGCAAAATATAACAAACATATAATCATACAAAATATGATATATGATATAATTACATGATTCAAAAATTATCAATCACTAAAATATATGATAAAGCATATTAACTCAACAATATAAATAATAATAAAAAGCATAAAGGAAATAAAAGACAAAATATAAGTCACTTATACGTAAGCAGATGATAAATATGATAAAACAAAAAATATAAAAACACAATACAATTAACAGGTGAATTATATACAAGCAAAAGCAAAGGAAATATTTGAAGAGTATGCAAGCAAAACAAAATACTAAAGAATCAAACGTATATATAGTTTAGATAAATATATGGGACAACATAAGAGACATGTAAATAGTCCAAAAAATAGTATATGATAAAAATAGACGTAAGAGCATACAAGCGATTCAAAATAGGCATATTATATAAGACATAATAGGAAGAACATAATTATACATATTTGACAAACAATATGATAAATCAGAAATATTAGTAATATTCATAAGGTAAAATAATAAATATAAACAAGATACAACAATAATAATTATTACTGTATAAAATTAATTCAGATATATTAATATATTGTATAGTAGTCAAAATCACATAAATACGTTCAATATAAATATACATAAATAAAGATGTATAATACATAAAACATGAACTATGGAAGATAAAATAGATTTATATATACATAAATAAAGATGTATAATACATAAAACATGAACTATGGAAGATAAAATAGATTTATAAACAAATGGAAACATAAAAAGAGTGTATAATACATAAAACATGAACTATGGAAGATAAAATAGATTTATAAACAAATGGAAACATAAAAAGAGCATAATTGCGTATAATAAAAACACCGATTTATTTTAGATAAACATGGTTACACAATTGATACTAGAAATAATGAATGACTATAAATCAATAAAAATATACATCATAAATATAATAATATATGTGAATATACATCATAAATATAGTAACATAGCGAACAATGTCACATAAGTCAATTAAAATGTAAGAAATGAACAAATCAAAATTAATTAACTAACAGCTAATAATATTTGTAAAATCAAGGCAACCATTTTCAAAATGATCAAATAAGTATATTAATCTATACAAAACACACAAACAATAGAATTATATTAAAAATACAATCATCAAAGAATCCACACACGAACGGAAATACACTCCAAGGGTAATAGTAAGAGAAAAATAAAATATAAACAATAGTAAAATCAATAGAAAAATAGTAATATAAATAACACATTACAGCAAAAAGAAGCATATGCTTGAATATCAAAATATAAATACATTGTCCTTAGAAATAACGAACCAATATGAATATACTAGAATAACCTATCAAGACAAAACTGTCTGATAAGAAAACTATGTACTGAAAATGTTGTGAGTTGAATAATTAAAGAATAAGAATGTAATGCATATGTAGAATATTAAAATCATGAACTTATTAAAGTATATCACGGAATACGAACACTATATAATAATCTAGAACATAAGTAAATGATAGATAGTATGACAGAAAACACACACATACATAATGCAGGTATGCAAAAGTATAATTAAATACAATAAAATAATCTAAATATCATATATGATATGCGATGTATATGTGAAATCTAATGACATGATTTGAATAATTAAAAATGTATAAGTTGTTAGACCCTAGAGGGGGGGTGATTAGGGTCTTATGCTAATCTAATCCGATTTAAATGCCAATTAAAACTTATTATCAAATTATTCTTGCAAGATAGATATACAATATGTTATAAGCAAGAATAAGCAATACGAACAAATAAATATATCCTAGCAATGAGATATACTATGAAATATATGCAAGGATATATAAACTAACACAAGGGTGAAATAAACAATCTACAAATGTGATAGGGCAATTGACAATGGCGACAAGAATGTAATGAACACTAAGCACAAATGAAAAGGCAAAGCAAACTCAAACACAAGCAAATAATCACGGAGTTCGGACTTTCCGTCCTACGTTTCCGCTCCCCACTCCCGGAGAGAAATCCACTATCATAACCGGATTTTCTACGCTCACCCGAATAACGTTTACACCTCACAATTTTATTCACGGAGTTCGGTCCCCACGACCTACGTCTCCGCTCCTCACCTCGAGGATATCTCCACTTCACACTCGGTTTTCTAGCTAACCGAAAACTTTACAATCTCACAATATAACAAATGATTTGTTCTCTACAATAGATGAGAACTCAATGTAAGTTTACTCTCTAGGTTACACAATCCCACAACCCAATTATACTATGAATGTAAATACAATAAGCTCAATAGGTTGTGTGTGAATAAAGAGATATAAATCAAAACTAAACTCATTATAGTTCTAGCTTAATAACAATGATAATCAAATATATAAAAAGAGCTAGAAATAGAGTTTAGAAAACTTCTCAATAGATCAAGAGATCAAGGGAGAGTAGTTGGATGCCCAAACACTAATAGACGATCTCCTCAAGCTCTTGTGAAATTGATTTCACAAACTCAAACTCTCAAATGCTTAAAAGCTTCTTAAACAAGCTTAAAAAACACTTAAACCCTTGTTAAAACTTTGTTAAAACATTTCTTAGATGCTTATGAAAGATGAGAGCAAGGGGGGTATTTATAGCCTCCCAAAACCTCAGCCAAAAACCTAACAGAAATGACCAAAATGCCTAAGGAAAACAGCTCAGGAAAAGAGCCGTTGGAACCTGATTGATAGTTCGGCGATCGACCGTAGGAAATGCGTGGTCGACCGCGAGCAGGTCAGAAACAGAACTTTGGCTCTGGACATCAGCCGGTCGACCGTGACGGTCGACCGCAACCACGGTCGACCACGAGCCATCAAAAAACAGCCATCAAAAAACATACTGAGTCTCTGGACTCAGGGGCGGTCGATCGTGGCGGTCGACCGCAAACATATATATGCAATTTGACAGGTTTGAAAAACTATTTTTCTGATTTTAAAACCCTGTTTAAAAATATCAAACAAATTCCAAAAAATATAAAACTTTAGGAAATGATTGTATACATGATAATAAACATGCTACAAAGACTGGTTTTCAAAAAGAACCTCCAAAATGAAAAATATCATCATTTTAAAAAATAGTCCAAAACATGAAAATGTAAACATATGAGTTTTGACATTTTAGCTTAACCATGTTTTGAAACATTACAAAATGATTTTGTAGACTTAATAAAAGATGTACATGATTATTGTTAAGTCCAAAAATTGAGAATACAATATTTTCATAAAATTGCATATTTTTGCAAACTTTTTAAAAACAATAAATATGATTTCATTAAATATAAACTTGATATTGATAAAATCATATATAATCATATAAACATGAAACAAAAATGTATTTTCCAATTATATTCAATTGTTTCATATTTAAACTTGAAAAACTTATATTCAATTGTTTCATATTTAAACTTGAAAAACCAAAACAATAAATATGAAGGATGTAATTTCATATTTATATATACTTGGAAACCAAAACATGTATGTATATATATATACGGCAATATATATACATAGAAAAACCAAAACGTTTATGTGTGTGTATGATTGAGCTTAAAGTACTAACACACATAATATAAAACCTAAAACTAAATATACCCAAGCGTGTGATCTTCAACGAAGCTCTATCTTGGTACACTTACGGATGAAGCTTGAACTTGAATCTTTAACTTTGAATTGCGTAAGCTTCACTCCAAAATTCCGCCAACGGTGTGTGATACATAAAATAAAATAATAAATAATACATAAATCAATACAATTAAAGACGGCAAACCGGGTTTAGGACAAGCAATTAAACGTCCTTACTTCCACGTGCTGAACCTCGCACACGAGCGTATTATTACAGCCCCAAACCGGGTTTAGGACAAAGAACAAAGAGAGAGTAATTAGAACTCCTAATTACAGCTAAAACAGAAAACCCACCGCAACAAATAAATACGGCAGATCAATCACTCGAATCGATCGTTCGATCCAGAGAGAGAGAGAGGCCTTCCTTCAACCTTAGATCCACAGAGTCAAACCCTAGAAATCTCGAAGGAGGGCCTGAACCAAACCCTCGAGAATCTCAGCACGTTTTAAAGCTAGGGCTTTGCTGGATGGCCTCCGATCAGTCCGTTGCCGTTGGATCTCAGCCTCCGCCTTCAGTGGTAAACTTGAATTCGATGTGATTGATTGCTGTCTTTGATTCCTTTGTCTTTTCTCAATTAGGGTTTTGTGTAGGTTGGAAACGCGTTTGTTCAGCAATTTTATCGAATCCTTCATCAGTCGCCTCACCTCGTTCATCGATTCTACCAAGAAAGTAGCAAGCTTGGCCGCGTTGATGGAAACGGCGTCATGGATTCAGTCACCACTTTGCAAGTAAGCAAATTTGTGCAGAACTTGAATAAATTGAAAAAAGGTTGGATCTTGATGGTGTACTTGATCGTGGTTGCATATGCTTTAACCTAATGTATTTCTTAACTGTATTTTAGACCCTCATATCTCTATGTTTCTAATTTACACCTGAAAGTCAATTAAGTTGTTTTAACGACCGTTTGGATTTCGTCAATAATTTCTACCGTAGTATGGGTAAACTCTCGAAAGTAATAGAATTTGGGGTGTTATTTAGTAATATGAAGATTTGGGGTGTAATATGAAATTAAGAAATAATCTAGGGTTTAATATGTCATAATTCTAAAACAACTTAACTGTTTTGAGGGTGCAAATTAGAATTATGAAGATTTGGGGGCCTAATATAAAATTAAAAAGGGATTTAATGTATAATATGACAGACCAACTTAAAGATCTGAGGGCATTAATTAGAATTATGATGATTTAAGGGGCCTTATATACAATTAAAAAAGAATTGAATGTATATTATGGGCAAAACCCATTTAACCAAAGACAAAAGTGTATTCTAGCCCGCACCATTTTAATAGGCACTTTTTTATGTAATTTAAATGAATAACTCTAACTTTTATGCTGATTTTTGTACCTTCATAATGAATAAGTAACCATCATGTAATCAAACTTGAGAACAAATGTTTTATTAAGAAAAATGAAAGTTTGGCAAAATTAAATCTTGATGTTTGGTTCAGTTGCCATTGCCAGCATGGCTAACCATTTGATATTCATGATGATTTAGGCAATTCATGAGAAGATAGTAGCATCAGGTCAACTTACAGCAGAGATCAAGACGGTGGATGCTCAAGATTCACTTAATGGTGGTGTTATTGTTTTGGTGACTGGGTATCTCACTGGGATTGATTTGGGTCGGAAGAACTTTACCCAGACATTCTTCCTTGCACCGCAGGACAAAGGCTACTTTGTTCTGAATGATATCTTTAGATATGTGGCTGAAGGTGGTCACCAGATGGAGAATGCAGAGTTCGCGAATGGAACTTTTGCATCATTATCATCTGAACAACGTATAACTTGTAAGAAATGATTCAATTGATTTAACTTGATTTCCCATGAAAAATGTTGATCTTGTTTTGTTAATTTTTTTTATAATTGAGAATTCATACTGCAATTGCCTTTGATTGATTTATTAGTTAAGACTTTACAGCTTACTATAAGCTCTTATTTTTATGCTATTTTGTTAAGAAAAAGATATGTCCATCCTTAGGCTTAATTAATCCCCATTGAGCTTTACTAGTTGCCTATATATTGCTGTTAAGATTTTTTGGGAAGTGGAGAGATCCCTTTTTATTTGTTTTTTGGCTTTAAGTCTGATGTTTGCTTGGTGTTAGGTAGTCAGACTTATTGAGATGTTAACTGTCATGTCTACTTATCAGCGAGATGATGGAGAATCAAATATTGAAAAGCTTTTGATAGAAAGTTTCTTGCTTTTAACTTGTCATTTCAGATTCTTTATTGTTATAGACCTCTTTTATTATTGACTGTGAAACCAGGTTTATTCAATTGAATCATTCATTAGTCCCAAACTAGCACTTTAATTGCGTATTTTTAAAGCTAAGATATGAAGGATGGACGAGTAATCCTAAAGCCTTAGTCAAAGAGGATTATCATGCAAATGCCCGTAGATAGGTAGTATTGTCGAAGTATCATATGTTGTTATAAATTCAAAAATTACAGAGATATATCTAATCTATGATTCATCTATGTCCCAACTTCTATCTTATTCTTCTTTTCTGTGCAGATTCTCCTCCCCGGGAGCAAGCAATTCAGGAGCAAATGCCACCTCCAAAATTGGAGGAGGAAGAAAATGGGGAGGAAGTGTACAACCCTCCACAGGAACAGGAGGATCCTGCAATTGTGGAGGAAGCTCCTGAAGAAGAGGTGGTTGATGAAGTTTCGAGCATTCCACAGATGGTAGTTGCTGTGGCAACTCCTGCCTCTACTGTTCATGAAGAGGCACCTAAGAAGTCATATGCTTCGATTGTAAGTGTCTGGTTTGAAGAATATGACGGGCATGATTTTCTGTATCTTTTTTTAATTTTCATGTGGTAAATTTGAATTGAATTTTGAGTTATGTCACTTAATGGCCATAATCTACTTTGTTTTTTAATTCTACTTTAGTTTTTGTGCTACTATGTATACAAGTCGTTGTTGGTAACAAAGTAATTTTGAGGCAACACAGTTGTTACAGGATTTTCTTGAAGAAGTTCAGGCCTTACGCTAGGTTCATGTCTTGTTTCTCTACATATGTAATTCATTTCTTTCATAACTTCCGCTGAAAAATTACTTTATTCTGTTTTTGTAAAATTCTATAAATTGACAGTTGTTATTTTCGCAAAAATAAGAGCAGATTTGGTGTGATGTCTATTTTATGTTAATTATAATTTGAATGAAGTAACAATGCATGTAATTTCGTCATTACAAGGCGTCATTTGGTTTAAACATGTAAATAATTCACAAAATCTAATTTGACCAAGTAAATAATGTTGTTATGCTGTCTAACACAAAACAATTCATTGATTTTTGATTTCTTAATTGGCTAGGTGAAAGTTATGAAAGAGAATCCGGCTCCTTTATCAGTTCCTAATCCTTCTCCTGCAAGGCCGAAACCGGACAGGCATTCGACTGTTGCTCCTAGACCAGCTCAGGTGCCTGAGCCTCCTGCGGATAGATCTAATGGTGCCGAGGACAACAATCCTCAAGAGGCGGAAGGTTACTAATGCTCTTTGCTCAGGGTTCTATGTTTTTCACTTTTCATGCAAATCTATAAATTTACTGGAGCATTGCTCATTTTTTTCTTTTCAGCTGATGGTTATTCAATATATATAAAGAGCCTGCCTTTGAGTGCTACACCTGCACAACTTGAAGAAGAATTCAAGAAATTTGGTCCTATTAGACCTGGTGGAATACAAGTCAGAAGCCATAAGGTTCTATTCTTCATACCCTTCTGTCAAAATCTCTTCTTCATACCCTTCTGTTACACAAAGCTAATTAGTGTAACAAGCTGCATGCTCTTACTCTACAGTTCTAATTTTTTGTTTCTCTTTAGTATAGGGGCTAATGTTTTTCCCTAATCAAATGCAGATGCAAGGGTTTTGCTTCGGTTTTGTACAATTTGAGGTGGCTAGTGCAGTGCAAAGTGCAATAGAGGTAAAGCAGCAAAAGCTTGCATTTTATGTTTTCCTATGCTGCATATTTTTTAAGTGTGGATTAAGAACATGTAGCTTGTTACACTAATCATCAGACTCATCAACATTATTGTGTTACTTAATGGATTCTTTTCATATTTTCTGTATGACCTACCATCTACATAGTATGTAGCATATTGGCCATGCGCAATGCACATCATCAGGGGTGTGTGTGTGTGTGTTGGGGGGGGGGGGGGANGGAGTAGTTCGAGCTGTAATGGATATGATCTCTATACATTAGAGTTATTATTATGTAACAATATTCCTTTGTAAAAAAATATAATGTAGCTACTTCTGTCTATTAAATACGTGAATGCACTATTGAGGGCATCGAGATCTAAAAGTTAAAATCAATTAGAATCTTATAACAGTGATGTATCATTAGTCATGATAAATCAAGACTCTGATCCAATAAATTCATCGACTGAGTGAATGATAAAGTAAGAATCATTTTGAATGGAATGGTTTAAGGAAATTCATAATGTAGAGAAACAAAAACTAAAATACTATAGATCGATATAAAATTACTAGGAACAGGAAGAGATTATTAAGAAACTGCTGTTGATGTTTTTAGTTTTAAGATTCAGCAGTATTAATTCTGAAGTATATTTAGATTTTAGCATGAGGGCTCACTGGACTTATAAGTTGATTGGTTTATATTTTATTTTGCATTTGCTTAAATTATTTATGTCAGTTTCTAGTTTATTCAAATACATATTTCTAGTTTCAATAATAGCTTTAGAGATGTATGCTGTTACCTAAAAGAATGAGAGAAAGAGAAAAGATAATATTTTAGAAATGACTGATTTGTTGGAAGAGGGATATGCTTAGATTAAGTTCTTGGAGATTTAAATATAACTAGTTTTAGTTATATTTTAATAGATATTCATAGGAAAAAGATGTCAAATGATTGATTTTCTTAATTTCAAATATATCCTGGAAGGAGCAAAAGAAATGAACATTATTTACTTCCTATAGCTTATTTCTCTATTAAGATTTAAGGGACACTGATTTCCCTGCAATAGTTGGTATTTTTTTCAGTTACTGGTGAATTGTGCTGGATATGTGAATCAATTTCAGTTCATTTCCTCTTTTTTTAATAGTCTTATTAGTTTGTATACTTTGATCAAATGCTTTATATTTCACTTTCTAGGTTGAAGTCCTTCCATTTTCCTTTATGAAGTCTCCTTATGTTGTTGAAACATCTTTAATACTATATAATTCAACGTGAACTCGTTCTCTCTTTAGGTTTGCTGATAATTCATATTCATCTTGGAATGAGTAGTAGATTTTGGAAAAGATGCTAGGTGGTTCTAGGTGATGTACCTATCATGAAGTGGCTAGCTACTCGAGTGCTGCCTAAACTCAACAATTAAGCACTTAATATTTCTTATAATTTTGAAATTATGATTAATAAGTGAAAAATACCCAAAAGCCTATAGAAAGTCATAAAATTAAGTAGAAATTTTAGGTAGAATTCTAGTAAAAAGTTACAGTGAATATCTACCATCTGAAGGCTAAAGGTTTAACTTGGAAAGTAACAAATAATTTAGAACTAAATACATTTTCACTAATCAAATAGAAACACATTCTGATTAAGAAGTTATTGGCAAGCTAGCAGTTATGGTGAGAATTTACAAAAAATAATGTAAATATTAAATAATGGTTTACGAGCTCAAGTGCAAGTTATCTTGAATGAAGGAGATACAGTTCATCGCTTGGCCTAACAAGAAGTAATAATGAAAAGTACCATACGATCATAAAAAGATGTGGATCTAGTCAATGGACCTATCACCTAGTGTCTAGCTATTCAAGTGCTGCTTAAACAATATTTAAGAATGTTTCTTATTATTTTGAAATTATGAATTAATAAATGTAAACTACCCAAAAGCCTATAGAAAATCATAAATTTGAGTAGAAAATTTAGGCAAAATTCTGAACTAATTCTCGTGAATTATCTACCATCGGAAGGATAAAGGTTAACTTGGAAAATATATAATAATTCAGGACTAAATACATTATCACTAACTGAATGGAAACAAGTTTTGATTAATAAGTTATTGACAAGCTAGAAGTTATGGTCGAGAATTAACGACAAATAATGTAAATATTAAATGATAGCTTACAAGCTCAACTGCAAGTTATATTTGAATGAAAGAGATACAATTCACCACTTGGCCTAACAAGAATTAATAATGAAAAGTACAATGTGATAATAACTAACGAGTAGCTTAGTAATGTAGACAGGTATAACACAAGCCATAATTCAACTGCATATCCCAAAACTAACTGAGAGTATGGTAACACGTCCTTCATCGTTTCAACTAGCCCAAGCTTAACATAATATGTAATTGTGGTCAATAGCTGACACAAAACCTACAAAGTGATAAAACAAACATAGTCTTTATAAAACAAACATAGTCTTTACAGAAAAGAGTCTAGATGTATAGGGAAGTGAAAAGAGGATTTTCTGTGATTTATTGCATAAGAATGTAGTAAACCTCTGGAACTGCAATGCTTGGGGGAGAGGAATAGTGACTATGCATGAGATTGACTTCTTGCGAATTTCCATAATAATTTTGATCTCTGATTGTTATCTTAATGCTATGCCAGCTTGTTGAATGTTATATTACTCAGTTTCTGACATAAAACCATTAAGAGTAGATTTTAGATTTTCTTTTTTTTTGTTCTTTTTTCTCTCTTATTTTCTTCTAATTTGGAGGTTTTGGATGATTAGGTCTAGGTTGTTATAACTACTAATAGCAAGCAAACTTAACCTTCCTTCTCACTCATGGGCCTCAGAACCAGAACGTGTAGAAATGCCCTCCAACATAAACTTGAGTAACTTGAAAGTTCCAAGTTTGAATAAATCGAGGTAAATATACATATTCTAAATTGTGAATGAGACATTTGAACCCATAACCTCCTGAAGCCTCCTAAAACCTTGTGTTCTAATACATGTTATGTAACCATTTTACCCAAAAGCCCAATTGTGGGCTAACAAAGTAAAAAAATCAAACTTAAGAGATCCAAGGAGTCTTTTTATGAGTTAATTTGCATGTTGTAGTCGACTTTATGATCATGAGTGGTCCTTGTGGTAATTCTGTTGTCTCTCTGGAGAAGTTCTTAAATAAAATCTTATGAAATAACAGGATTATTATAACTCATAAGACGAAATTGTCTAAATCTGCAAAGATGAATATCACAAGTTGGCATTGAGTTCAACTTCAAAGTAGAGATACATGGAGTACAACAGCAATGTTTGTTGTGAATTAGCTGGTGTAATAATAATGTTGTACTGCCAGTGGTGGATGGAAAAAAAATTCAGGGGGTGTGTGTGTGTGTTGGAGAACAGCTGTTTATTTACCTAAAAATAAAAATATAATATTATAAGACTATAATACTTGGTGGAAATGCAGAGTGCATATAATTACACTTTATTGTTGGAATTTTAAATGGACTTCTACTATTCAATGGGCTAATTAAAAAAAATTTCAAAATTGTTTAATGGTTTTAGATGGCTTGGGCTTTGGGGTGCAATTTTAAAAATTTATGTGCTTTTTTTTTTTGGGGGGGGGGGNAATGCAAGTTTCAAAATTTGTACGGGTGCAAATGCACTCCTAGGATGTATATAGACCCGCCAGTGTGTACTGTTATTATCAGTCGCCAGTGTCTAAAACTGAAACTCAGCAATTGTGAAGCCTTGAATCATGATGTAGTTGGCCACAATTTTGACGTTAATCTCTAAACCAGGTAAGGGTGGTAGACACATGCCCTATTTTACCCTTCCTTTTTTCTTTCCTTGGTAGAAACATGTTGGTATTGGTAGACACATGCCCTATTTTCCCCTTCTTTTTTTCTTTCCTTGGTAGAAACATGTTGGTATTAGTTGAATGGTATGGTCACATGTAGGAATTTATTTTGGAATGTTAAATAAATTGATGCATATGTAGTCCCTTCAATGCATCATTTTATTTTGGTATGTTAAATAATGGTATGGTTACATGTATTATCTGCATGAATTATTGCTGGACCAGTTCACTGATGCACAGATATATGTCACAAGAAATAAATTAACGGAAATCAACAAACTTAACTCTGCATTATTGTGTGAGTTTGAACTTTAGATAGCCATACAACGCCCAATGCTTGCTTATCTTTCTGAAAACTTAATTGTATCGTTATTCTTTCTGATTTATGTGGGTGAGTTCTCTTTTTCTTTTTCAGGCTTCCCCAGTTGTGATTGGCGGTCGTCAAGCTTTTGTTGAGGAAAAGAGGCCCACTGCTCCAAGAGGCAAGTGTGAAAAAAAATACATAGCTGTTCTTCAAGTTCTAGATATAATTATTCGCCCTATGCCAACTGCCACTTTTCATGGGAATACTATTTCAAACTGACAGAATTTTTTTTTCTTTTCTTCTGTACTAGTTATTGCACATTTCATTTTGTATGTAGAGCACAACTTCTGATGGGAATTCACATTACAGCTTGTAGACATCTTTCTGATGGTATTCTTTTTCCGTACAATTTTTCAGCCAGTACCAGAGGGAGATCAGCTCCTGGTAGGGTTTCTGGGTTTCGCGGTGACGGACCTAGAGGACGTGGAAGCTATGGCAGTGGGAGGGGTAGTTTCGGAAGAGGTGATTATAACAACAGGGGCGATTTTGGTAACCGAGGTGGTGGTAGAGCAAATCATGGAGGTGATGTCGGGTATCATAGTGGTGGCCGTGGAAACCGTTCTGGTTCTTTTACAGGAAATTCATCTCCCAAAAATGTTGCCCCTGGGGTGCCTGCTCCTGCCTAGATTAGATAGTATCAAGCTATCTTTTAGTTGTAGGGTTTTCCTTTTCTTTTTCCTTTTTTTAGCCTTCCATTTTTCTGAGAGGTTGCCATTCATCAGGTATTGAGATTGTATACATGCCAATTTTCTCCTTTTGTTTCAGGGGGCACGAGGCATTGAAGCTAAGTTTGTTTATTTTTTTTAATTACACCGTGTGGTTCTATTGATCTTTTCTAGCATACGGGTATTGGATGGAATTTCTTTACAATTTATTAATTTATATTAACATTGGTATTACTTATTGTCGAACAGAGTCAATTGGATGGAGGATGCAAACATGCCAACTGAATTTAGTTTCAGAATTTTTCTATAACTTGATGAATTTGAATAGAAGAAGATGTGCTCTTATGGTCTTGCCTTTGCTGCGTCCAAATGATCGGCGGTGCAAGTTAATCCTGTTTGGCTAGCTTATCTTTTATCACTTACAAATATCAAACGGTAGCAAGAAATTATTGTTCATCGATTTGTTTCCAGATGCGAGGTCAAATGGTCATTTGGTTTCTTTTCAACTGTTGGATATACTCGTGTTTATTAAGTTGAGATCCCACAAGGAGATCTCAGCCCATCACCGTCACTTAGAAGTGTGCTCTCCCAACACCATCATAAGACCTGTATATACATAACCAAGAGAAACACCCCCATAACAAACATCAAGTTTAACTATGTACATGATCACAACCCATGATGAACACATAACACAACAAAAACCTCTCCTCCCAAAACAGATACATCAGTCAATGATAATGGGAAGATCACTCCCATTTCCACTTCTCCCTTGCGCCTCTGGATCCATAGGAGCTCTGGCACCTTCAGCATTCTCCCCAGCAGCAGCAACAAAATCATGAGCTCATGCTAACGAGAATGAAGCAACGTGAGAAGTTCACCTTCATATATCTACCTAGTGAATGTGTTTATGATTAAGGGTCTGTTTGTTTGCCTAAAAAAAGTGGGAAATCAAAGAAATGAAAAACTATTTCTAAGAATAATTGTTTTGGGAGTGTTTGGTTTGCTAAAAAGAGAAGGAAATCAAAGAAATGGAGATGAGATGAGATGTCGCCTTATTATAGGATGATGTGAGTGTTTTTTTTAAGAAAACTTGTTTTGATGTTGTTTGGTTGGCGGGAAAAAAAAGGAAATGAATTATAAGAAACCTATTTCTTGTAATAGGTTGTTTTCTTTTGTTTGGTTCATTCTTAAAAATAAGAAAATAAATTAGATGAGATGAGTTGAGTTGTCATTATATTATTGGATGATATGACCCACACTTTAGAAAATTGTTTTCCTAGCTTTTTGGGAGGAAATGAGTGAAAATAAAATGTTAATGAGATGAGGTGAGTTGTCATCATCTTATTGGATGATGTGAGTGATTTGAAATAGTGAGATGAGATGAGTTAAGTGATGTTGTGGATAAAAATGATATTTTATTAGATGTGGTGGATGAGTTGTTGGATAAAATAGTATTTTATTAGATGTGGTGGATGTGGTGGATGAGTTATTGGATTAAAATAATATTTTATTAGATGTGATGGATGAGTTGTTGGATAAAAATAATATTTTATTAGATGTTACGGGTGAGTTTTAGGGATGGAAATGGATGAAATTGTACTTTTTGAGTTTTCTTGGTTTTTATTTTTATTTCTTAGTTTTTTAGGAAATAACCAAACAGGCCCTAAAAAAAAAATTCTCTTGTTGCGTCCACATTCCAAGCACATCATATCAAAGCACATATGTAAGCTTTCAATTCTCTCCTTTTATCTCCCTCTAAAACTAATTTTCTCCAGTGTACCCAGACAACATATAACTCATGAGGTAATCCAGAAATATGAAGCTTGTAACGCAGAGTTCCATAGAGACTGTACAAAGTCATAGTGGAAGGAGAAGATGATTATGGGACTCATTACTGTAACACTTCGTGTCAACGAGATCAGAAAGTAATTTCCTTTATCAAACTTCTGATGATGAGAGATGAGATAGATTCTTTTATCTATTAGTTTAAAAAATAATTCTGAAATTAAATTAGTTATATAGAGGTTTTTACAAGGTTTTATTTGTTAAAAGGCTAGACCGGGTTTTAAGTTAAAAGCGGTCAAACCATTAGTCAAACCGTTAAGTCAAAATCCTTATAAAAGACCTAGATAAGCCCTATAGATCAAAAATTTCAGATTGCTGACATTGATGGAGGGCCCAGAAGGCTAGAAGGAGGAAGAGGAGAGCTTTCGCGCACCGTTTGGCAACTTCGAGATCTCTTTTCGGTAGAAATACTTTCAGACAAGTACCAACTTATTATGTCTAAATCATTGCTTCCTTTTATATTTTTAAGATTTTTGTATTAAATGTATTTCTGATCCTTCATGATTATTTATGTTCTTCTAATGATTTTCGATCATGTTTATATCGTTATTTTAATGTTTAGAACATGCACGTTAAAGAATCTGATCTTAGAACTCTAGAAATCTATGGAAAATCAGTAAAACATGTTTTATATGCTAACTTATGCCAGTGATATGTTTCATAGTTTATTTACCATGAAAATAATAAGCTTTTACCATGTTCAATAAGCTGGGTTTTAACCCTAGATCGGAAAAGAAATGTCGTTTTTGCAAAACTGTGAACTTTGATATGATTTTTATGCATGATAGATTCATGAGCTTATGTTGAAAAGTAATAGAAAAATATCCCCAAGAATAGTGGATGAAAGACAAATGAAACCTTAAGTTGAAATATTTAGAAATCTGTCAAAACCTAGATATAAGACGTCAATAAGTTTGTGTTTAACCCTAGATCGGAAAAGCAAAGTCGTTTTTGCAAAATTGTGATCTTTTATATGATTTTTATGCATGGCTTATGTTGAAAAGTTATAGAAAAATATCCCTAAGGGGGTGTTAGTCAATTGAGACATTTTCATGTAAAATGGGATAATTGTTAAAGTGGAATAATATTTCGCTAGTGAGATATTTTAGTGGGATAACTAGGAACAATTTTGTGAAGCAGGATATTTTGATAAAATAACGTGGGATAAATTTTTATAATCATGAAGTATATATTTATGCATTTTGAAGATATAAATACTATTTATGTATTTTAAACTTACTATTATTAATTGATAATTGCTTACAAGAATATTCGTTACTATTAAATAACTTTTGGTTAGACTATAAGATATTGACAATTATTATTATGATGATGGTCTAATGATGGTGATAACCATAATAGGAAATAAGTAAAGAAAAAAATAAAAAATAACAAAATAAATACGAGTTCTAGTTTTTTACCACATAGTTCCAAGCTAAAACTTGGAATAATTTGAGAGACTAGAACTCTCATTTTTGTATAGAAAAATAAAAAAAGTGGGATAATTTTGTACAATTATCCCAATTCTAGTTTTGTTAAAGTTCTGTTTGACTAACACTGTAAAATTTTATTCTAGTTTTAGTTCTATGTGACTAACACCTTAAAATTTTGTTCTAGGTTTAGTTCTATGTGACTAACACCTTAAAATTTTATCCCACAGATTATCCCAGTTCTAATTTTAAGTTCTAGATGACTAACCCCCCCTAAGAATAGTGGATGAAAGATAAGTGAAACCCTAAGATGAAAATTTTAGAAATCTGTCAGAACCCATGTTATAACATGGAAATGACTAATTATAAACCCTCTCCTAGGAGTCGATACATGTCCATAATTAGCTATGCACCACATCAAGTAGGCCCTATGTAGGACAAGTCAAGTAACGTCATCACTCAACCCTTCCGAAGAAGGACCGAGTTGAAAGGCGTCCTCATTTGGACCACATAGTTAAGGCCAACTCTATGTCCCTTCATTTTGTAAAACCAAGCTGAGAAGCTCTCAATCCAAAATGACCGAATCAATAGGGATCTTTTTATCAGCCCACTCGCAAAGCCAAGATGAAAATCGGTCACTCTCCAACCCTACACTGACAGCCGATCACCATCACATTAAATGCATGGTCGAAATCACCATTACTTTGACCCCGAAAGTCTTAATGACTCATTGGACCTCGTTAGCACCTAACTTCCCCTATCACCCCCACATTAATCATGAAGGTGACTCACACCATTTGCAGCCGACACCTGTAAAGCTTTAGCCAAATAAGGTGACTGCTTGGACTCGGCTGAAGTTACAGAATTGTACTCCCGAATCTACTATAAATAGGTGAATTGCCTACTGCATGGAGGAACATGATTTCTGCATATAGAACACACTGCAATCATACTTTTTACCTTTACTTAAGATCAATATTGACTTGATCATTGGAGGAATTATCGGAGAACTCAACTCTGACCCTCTTACGTATTGTTCGTGTGCAGGACTGAATCATTTGCTCAAGAATTAACCATCGAAAGAAGATTGAGGAATCCTAAAATCCTACATACTCCACACTAAAATTTCTTGTTTGATATCTGGCATTAACAGTTTGGCACCCACAATAGTGCCTCTTTTTCTTCTTTGTACAAGATGGTTGTTCTGATCGTCTAGATCGATCATCAATTCCTCCTGTTGAAGAAACACACATTGTGGGCTATGTCACTCAAGCCTAATTGGAGGAATCCACCCAAAGAATTTCTTAATCTCTTCAGCAATGGTTTGTTAGGTCTCATATTTATGAGCCTACTATCTAATCTAGTTTTGATAATTAACAAACACTTCATAACAATGGTTGTCAAGTGTTTATATTTTATTGTTAGGTATTCTACACATTGGAGGTTGGATAAAATTGCGCCTACACGATCATATTCATTGGAGGATGGAAGGATTTTGGAATGGAGCACGATGCATTCAAGTCCAAGACACACTATTGCTTCATCCATACTACAAGAGGAGGAGTTCCCAAGATCAAGCATCATGAGATCATTTAGCTTGGGTATATTTAGTTTAGTATGTTTATACTTTGTGTTTTATACTTAGAGCTTAATTTATACACACACATAGTTTTCGTTTCATTGCTTTCAATTTTAGCCACATAAATATGAAACAAATGAAAAAAATTGTATACACTCATATTCGTTTCATGTTTATATGTGCTTGATATGATTTCATTGAGATCAAGATTTGAAATCATGTTTATTATTTTGAAAGATTGCAAAATATGTGTATTTTTGATAAAATATTATGTTATTGATTTATGGACTAAATAATCTTAGTTTACATCTTTTATTTAATCTCTAAATCCATACAAGAGTTTTTAAAACTTTGTTTAAGTCAAAATATCAAAAACAAGTG